AAATCAGGTGTTCATAAGTGTGTGGGTTCATATCAGGCTGTTCAATTACATTCCATTGGTCTACCTGTCTATTTTTGTGCCAATACCAAAATGTTTTCAGGACTATGGTTCTATAATAGAACTTGAAGTCAGGGATGGTGATGCCTCCAGAAGTTGCTGTGTTGTACAGGGTTGTTTTGACTATCCTGGGTTTTTTGTTCTTCCATTTAAAGCTGAGAATTGTTCTTTCAAGGTCTCTGAAGAATTGTGCCAGTGTTTTGATGGAGATTGCATTGAATCTGTAGATTGCTTTTGGCAAGATTGCCATTTTTACTATGTTGATCTTATCTATCCAAGAGCATGGGAAGCCTTTCCATTTTATGGAATATTCTTTAATTTCTTTTTTAAAAGACACAAAGTTCTTACTATACAGGTCTTTCACTTGTTTGGTTAGTGTTACCCCAAGATATTTTATGTTGTTTTTGGCCATTGTAAAGGGTGATGCTTCTCTGATTTCTTTCTCAGCCCTTTTATTTTCTGTAATAGTAGGGCTACTGATTTTTTTTAGTTAATTTTATATTCTGACACTTTGCTGAAGGTGTTTATCAGCTGTAGGAGTTCCTGTGTAGAGTTTTTTTTTGAGTCACTTATGTAAACAATCTTATGAACTGCAATAGTGAAAATTTGACTTCTTCCTTTCCAATTTGTATCCCCTTGATATCCTTTTGTTGTCTGATTGCTCTAGCTAGAACTTTTTTAATTAAAATATTGAAGAGATATTGGAGAGAGTGGGCAGCCTTGTCTTGTTCCTAATTTTAGAAGAATTCCGTTGAGTTCCTCTCCATTTAGTATGATGTTGGCTGTTGGTTGGCTGTATATTTCTTTTATTATGCTTAGGTATGTTCCTGTTATTCCTGATCTCTCCAAGACCTTTATCATGAAGGGGTGTTGGATTTTGTCAAAGGATTTTTCAGCATCTAGTGAGATGATCATGTGGTTTTTCTTTCTCAGTTTGTTTATATGGTGGATTACATTGATAGATTTTCGTTGAACTATCCCTGTATCCCTGGGATTAGACCTACTTGATCATGGTGGATGATTTTTCTGATGTGTTCTTGGATTTGATTTGCCAGTATTTTGTTGAGTATTTTTGCATCAGTGTTCATGAGGGATATTGGTCTGTAGTTCTCTTTCTTACTTGTTTCTTGTGTGGCTTGGGTACCAAGGAAATTGTAGCCTCATTAAAAGAGTTTGGCCTTGTCCCTTCTGCTTCTATTATGTGTAACACTTTGAGGAATACTGGTGTTGTAGCTCTTCTTTGAATTTCTGGTAGAATTCTTCACTGAAACCATCTGGTCCTGGGTTTTTTTGTTTGCTTTTTGTGGGTTACTTTTGATGACTATTTCTGTTTCATTGGGGTTTATAAGTCTATTTAAATTGCTTATCTGTGATTGTCCATTTTCTTTAAATTTTTGAATTTTGTGGAGTACAGGTTTTCAAAGTATGACCTGATGATTCTCTGGATTTCCTCAGTGTCAGTTGTTATATCCCCCTTTTCATTTATGATTTTGTTAGCATGTTCTCTCTCTGCCTTTTGGTTAGCTTGGATAAAGGTTTGTCTATCTTGTTGATTTTCTTGAAGAACCAAATCATTGTTTCATTGATTCTTTGTAATGTTTTCCTACTTTCTACTTTATTGATTTCAGATGTCAATTTGCTTATTTCCTGGCATCTACTTCTCCAGGGTGAGTTTGCTTCTTTTTGTTCTAGAGCTTTTGGTTGTGCTGTTAATTTTCTAGTGTGGCTATTCTTCAATTTCTTCATGTGGGTACTTAATGCTATAAACTTTCCTCTTAGCACTGCTTTCAAAGTATTCCATAAATTTGGGTATGTTGTGTCTACATTCTTGTTGAATTCTAGGAAGTCTTTAATTTCTTTTTTTAAATTTCTTCCTTGACCCAGGAATGGTACAATTGCACATTGTTCAATTTCCATGAATTTGTAAGGTTTCTGAAATTTGGGTTGTTGTTGAATTCTAACTTTAAACCATGGTGATCCAGTTTGTTTGTATCTGTGGAGGTTTGCTATGTTGCTGAGTATGTTGTTGATTTTAGAGAAGGTTCCATGTGGTGCTGAGAAGAAGGTATATTATTTTGTGTTTGGATGGAATGTTCTATAGATTACTGTTAATCCCAATTGGTTCTGTTAGTTCCTTTGTTTCTTTGTTAAGTTTCTGTCTGGTGGTCCTGTCTAGTGGTGAGAGTATGGTATTAAAGTATCCCACTATAAGTGTGTGAGGTTTTACATGTGATTTGAACTTTAATAATGTTTCTTTTACAAATATGGGTGCCTTTGTATTGTGGGCATAGATGTTCAGAATTGAGACTTCATCTTGATGGACTTTTCCATGATGAATACGACATGCCCTTCTTCATCTCTTTTGATTGATTTTAGTTTGAAGTCTAATTTGTTAGATATTAGGATTGCTATACCAGCTTGTTTCTTGTGTCTATGAAGTTTAGATATGTTTCTTGTATGCAGCAGATGGATGGATTCTGTCTTCATTTCCATTCTGTTAGCCTGTGTCTTTTTTTCAGAAATTTAAGACCGTTGACATTGAGGGATATTAATGACCATTAATTGTTGATTCTTGTTTGTTTTGGATTTGTTTTGGTGGTATTATTGTGTGTGAATTTCCCCCCTTTTTTTCTTTTGGTGTTTGGTAAAGTAGGATTATCTATTGCCTACTGTTTTTGAGAGTGTAGATATATTCGTTGGGTTGGAGTTTTCCTTCCAGTACTTTCTGTAGGTCTGGATTTGTAGATATATATTGTTCAAATCTGGTTTTGTCATGGATAATCTTGTTTTCTACATCTATAGTGATTGAAAGCTTTGTTGGGTAGAATAATCTGTAGAGCCCAGATTCTTTAAACAATTTATTGTTTGATATTTTTTCTATTATCATTACTTGACATCCATAAAGTTTTGTGTCTTTATATTATGCCATATTAGAATGATTGGTTTTAAAAATGTTCTGTTTGAGTTGCTTATATAAGTTTTACAAAAAAAATATCTTTAGGGATTAGAGAGAGTTGGTTCCCAATTAAGAGCATGTGTTGCTCTGCAGGGGACCCAGGTTTACTTCCCAGGACCCTCTTGGAGGTTTACAGCTATCTGTAACTCCAGCTGGTAGGAGTGCCAACTCATACAGCCACTTTGGAAATCAGTATGAAGATTCCTCAGTTTGAAAAAGGGAATCAGTCTACCACAAGATACAGCAATTCCACTCTTAGGCATATACCCAAAGAATGCACATTCATACAACAAGGACATCTGCTCCACTATGTTTGTAGCAGCATTATTTGTAATAGCCAGAACCTGGAAGCATCCTAGATGCCCCTCAATTGGAGAATGGATAGAGAAAATGTGGTCCATTTACACAGTGGAGTACCACTCAGAGGAAGAAAAACAATGGAATCTTGAAATTTGCAGCAAATGGATAGTACTAGAAGAAACCATCCTGAGTGAGGTAACCCAGTCACAAAAAGGCAAATATGGTATGTACTCACTCATATGTTGGGGTCCAGCCTGTATCAGTCCTAAGCTGTATTAGGACATCTATCCTGGAACCAGCTGAACACCCCTGGGTTCGACCCTGAGTGGGGGAGTGTGGATCAGGGAAGTCCTGGCTACCCTGAGACAGAGACATCTTGTCATTTCAGGAGGGCTCTCAGTCCATACTGGAGACACCAGTTTATTCAAGCATCTTCTTAAATAGCTTTCCAAAAGCAGGGGTACTGCCATAAGACATCTATTATCATGTATATAGGGCTAACTAGGAAACACTTCCTTTAACCCTAGAGAGGGTCCTAGAATGCATGCACACAAACCCTGAGACCTTCCTTAATGCAGGTTTCACTAGTCTTCAGGTAAAGCTCTCTGGCCCCCATGCATGTTCCACTAGCACCGATGATGGGTGAGGGGTCTAGATCTATTGTTATGCACACTAGAAGGCATTCCCCACTGTGGCCAGGCCATCCAAAGGTACCAGCCTACTCTAAAAGACAATAGGAGATTAGAGCTCCTGGAATTGAGCTGAGGCCTATATTGAAGTATCTTATTTGGGCCCTGACACTCATATATGGATTTTAGACATGGATCAGCGCAGTTCCAGCCTACAATCCCACTACCAGAGAGTCTGGGAAACAGGGAGAACCCTAAAAGAGATATGCGAGGTACCCCAGAGAAGGGGAATGGGACAGGATTTCCTGAGCAGATCGGGAGCATGGGGCAGGGGAGAGGGAGCTGAGAAAAAGAGAGTGGGAGAAGAGGAGGGCAGAGGAGGACACTGGGGGGGGGGCAGAAAGGTTGAGTGGGGGGAGGGAGAATGGAGGAGAGCAGCATGAGCAATACCATAATAGAGGGAGTCATTAAAATGGTTTGAGGTGAGATCTGGCACCAGTGAGAATTCCAGAGATCTACAAGGATGACACCAACTAGCAATCTAAGTAGTAGTGGAGAAGCTACCTTAAATGCCCTTCTCTGATAATAAGTCTGATGACTACCTTATATGCCATCCTAGAGCCTTCATCCAGTGGCTGATGGAAGCAGAGGCAAACACCCACAGCTGAAAACTGAACTGAACTTCTGAAACCCAGTTGCAGAGAGGGAGGAGTGATGACCAAAGGGGTCAGGACTGGGCTGGTGAAACCCACAGAGGCAACCGACCTGAACAAGAGGGAGCTCTTGGACCCCAGACCAGCCTAAATTTGGATGTCAGGGAGGAGGCCTCGGCAATTTATGGAGCCTTGGGTAGTAGATCAGTATTTATCCCTGGCATACAAATTGACTTTGGGAGCCCATTCCACATGGAGGGATGCTCTCTCAGCCTAGACACATGGGAGATGGCCTAGGCCCTGCTCCGGATGCAACATCCAGACTCTGGAGATCACCCATGAAGGGCCATACCCTTCCTTTTAAATTTAAAAAAAGATAAAAAAATAATCTATTTGTCCCTTTAGGACAACTGGTTCAACTGAAATGTGTCCATTACCTCCTTCAATGAGCAGCTCTGTCAAGGAGAGCATCATGCTCTGATTGTCCTGGAAACAGCAACATCACTGGAATTGGGGACCAGATCTGGAACCTGATCAAATCAGGAGTGATGAAACAAGAAGGAAAAAGAGGAAAAGAAGTGAAAGTATCTAAAGTAAGAAAAAAAAATCATGTATTAGTATAAACATTAGAATTTGAGTGTAGCCGGGCGTTGGTGGCGCATGCCTTTAATCCCAGCACTTGGGAGGCAGAGGCAGGCGGATCTCTATGAGTTCGAGGCCAGCCTGGTCTACAAGAGCTAGTTCCAGGACAGCCTCCAAAGCCACAGAGAAACCCTGTCTCGAAAAAGCCAAAAAAAAAAAAATTGAATTAGAATGTGCTATTTTTAAAGTTTGAAAGAGAAATGTTTCAAGGTGTTTTTAGGGACTGTTGCTGGGAGAACAATAAAATATTAGAAAATAAGAATAAAATTGCCAAACGAATTTTGCATTGTGATTAGAACAGAATTTTCAATAATTTCTGAGATCTCCTAATTGGACTTCTGCCATTTTGTACTATATATTTAAGAGAAGCAGCATTCTCAGTGTTGACTATTATAAAATCAAAGTACCAAGCAATTAAAAAAAAAAGAAACCAAAGATGCTCTGTATCCTAAAGCATGAAATAGCCAAAATTAATTCTTTATGTAAAAATAAGGTAACACATCAACTTTGTAAAATTTGCTCCTGCCTTTGATAAATGGTAAAATTGTATGTATGTCAAAGGATTAACTTAAACTAGATTTCTTTATGGTTTATCATCAGTAAATGTTTTATTTGTTAATAGTTCTGTTTTTATATACCCATATTCTTTATGGTTTATCATCAGTAAATATTTCATTTGTAAATAGTTCTACTTTTATATACCCATATTCTTTACAGTTTATCATCAGTAAATGTTTTATTTGCAAATAATTGTGTTTTTATATACCCGTATTCCCAGGGTCACCAGTAGAAAACTCTTAAGAATCCCTGTTCTCGAGGACCCAGAAAGAGGCTGGAGGAAAGCCTACAACGGTCAACTTTCTCCTCCATCATACATGCATCTTGGGCCATCAGGCTTTGGTTGTCAAGTGCTTTCACCAGATGAGCCATCTCACTGGCTGTCAAAAACTTTAAGGATGTTGAGGATGTGCTCCATAAATTCTCATTACACACGAGAGGCCTCCAGAAAGTTTAATAAGCACATGGCTTTCCAGGCTTTCAATAGAAAGCCTGAAAAGAGAAAAGATCTTTTACAAAGAGCCTCATTAGTTAAGGTGTGACCTTGTTAGACAAGGTGTGGAAACATCGGGAAGATTCACAGAAAATGCACAGAATTTTGAGGAACTATGTTAGCACAAAAATATTGCCACAGGATGGTTTCATATATGCACGGTCCCCAGACATTGATCCTAGGGGCAAGAGGATTAGCAATTTCTAGGTCATCCTTGGCTGCATAATGAGTTTGAGGCCAGCTTGGACTAGGTGAGATAATGTCTTAACAAACAAAGGAGAATTCAGTGAGACAGCTCAGTGGGCAAACCTGCTTCTGAGCAAGCCTGATAACGTGGGACCCACGTAATTCAAGGAAAGAACCAACTCCCAAAAGTTGTCCTCTGACCTCCAAACATGTGCCATGCCCAACACATGCCTAAGCCCACAACAATTGTAATAAAAATGAAAACAAATGATGAACAACCAATCAACCACATAAAAAACAAATTAAAATAATATTACCAACAAAATCAGGAACAGACAAAAGATTGATATAAAATCCATCTTGACCCAGGTTTTCCCCTTTTAATATAAGAATATTTATTTATAATACCTTATGTCTACTTTGCCACGGTTTTGCGAGTATATGGGAGTAAGGCAGACAGCTTTTGGGGGGGGTATTACAAGCTCACAGACATGGATGAACAGTATTTCTGCAATTGTTCCTAAGAAACTACAATCACAGAATCAAGACTGTTCATCTATATTTAGATTCAAAGTTTGAAGGCATTGGCTTTGATCTGATGCTGTAACTGATGAATTTTAGTGCATGAGATGTGCTGGGTATATGCTTTATCTGTAAGAACTGAGAACTATTGAAGGTCAACAGCTTGTTTTTAATAACAGAATCTGCTACCCTACTTTTTAAAAAATCTTAACAGTGATCAGCTGAAAAGACTCCAGAAGGATCAGTCAAACATATGGTCCCATAGTTGGGCTGACTATGTGTATGTGTGTCCTATGCTATCACTCAGAAGGTTCCCATGCAGTTTACTGAGCTGTGATGCTCTTGGCATGCTTTTAGAGAATTACCTTGATTAAATTAATGGAGATAGGTAGAACCACCCACTGTGGGTGGCACCACCCTGGGCCATCTGAAAAGGAGAAATTGAGCTTAGCAAAAGCATTCATCACTCTGATTCTTGACCAGGGGTGGGGGTGTATACAGTAATCAGTTGCTCTAACCTCCTGATGCTGTAATTTCCCCACCATTATGGACTTTACCCTTGAACTGAGTCAAAATTTTCCCATTCTCCTAATGTTGGTTTTGTCATGGTAACTTATTACAAGACATGAAAAGTAACTAAGATACTAGTACATTAGTATATCATTGTACAACTGGAAGGTCATATATTCAAGAGATTCTCTCATTTTGTGGCAGAGGAAAATGGATTTTAACAATAGCTACATACATTGAACACATTCATGTTGTGTTAATATGGTTGATGGTCTCTTGAAGATTAAAGAAAAGTTTTCAAAATAAAATATAAAAAATAAGATTTTTTCAATCACATTGAGGTGTTTTATTTTCCCTCAAAACAGTGGTAAATCTTTCAGAGGTACTCAAATAGAAGAATTACTGAATTCCAGGCTCATGGGGCTGGAATGAATTTAGGGATCAGCTAGTGAAATCCACTTATTTATGGAGAAGAGAATTGAAAACCTACTTTCAAAAGTTCACTGTTGTCACTAGCAAGGGAAGCGGGTAGCATAACTGATAATCTTCATCATTCCCTCCTTCCCTCCAAACCCAATGCCCCAGTCTCACCCCCATCTCTGTAGCAGACCAGCTGGCGTGGCCTCCCCTTCCTCTCTGCCCCCATCTCCAGTGGGTAACTCAGATCCCCTTCAACCCTCCTCACCTTGGTATCTCAGCTCCCAGCTCTAGCAGGAATTCTCTGAAAACCAGGCAGCCAAGCCTGCCAAAGAAACACATAGGAGAGGCAGGAAGGCTGGTTTCACATCTTTACTCTCCCTCCTCTTCTCCATATCTAATCCCCTAGTTTCATCCCAAGCTTTGCAGCAGACTACTGACTGTGGCCTCCCCCCCCCACTCCCTCATTCTTTTTAAAGCAGATCCTGGTGCAACACTCTACTTTCCTCCCTCATGTGGAGCCCTTCAACACCTGCCTCCCAGTGCATTCTCATTTCTGTGTGTCAATTCTCAATACCTAGAAGCATATTTTACCCAGAACCCCCAGTGACCACATCTATAGGGTACACAGAAGAATTTTCTACCAGGTGCCTAGACTCTAACTCCAGCATAAAAACACAACAGCAGCAACAGTCAGGCACTATGTCTCCATTGGAGTTTAGAAATCCTGTACCACAGTAGGCTCTAAGTATTGAGACATAGCTGGAGCACAGAACAAAGACCTTATAGCCTTTATAAATATGATATGGATCCTTAAAGAGGAAATAAATAAATCTCTTAAAGAAATCTACAAAAACATGAACAGTAGAAGGAAATGAATAGACTAGTACAAGACCTGAAAGTGGAAACAGAATCAAAAAAGAAAATACAAACTGAGGAAAACCTAGAAATGAAAAATTTAGGAGCTCAAACAGGAATGTCAGAAGCAAGACTCAACAACAGAGGGATGGAAGAGGGAATCTCAGGCACTGAAGACATTATAGAAGAAATGGACACCTCAGTCAAAGAAAATGTTAAATCTTAAAAAATCCTGGCACAAGACATTCAGAAAACCTGGAACACTAGGAAAAGACCAAATCTAAGAAAAATGGGAATAGAGGAAGGAGAAGAAAGCCAGGTGAAAGGTTCAGAAAATATTTTCCACAAAATCATAGAAGAAAATTTCACTAGTCTAAATAAGGATTTGCCTATCAAGGCACAAGAAGCATACAGAATACCAAGTAGATTGGACCATAAAGAAAGTCCATGGGAGCATAATAATTAAAACATTCAATGCACTGAACAAAGAAAGAATATTAAAAGCTGTAAGAGAAAAAGACAAAGCAACATACATATAAAGGCATATTTATTAGAATTACACCTGACTTCTCAATAGATACTCTAAAATTCATAAGGGTATGGACAGATAGGCTACAGATTTTAAAAGATCATAAATGCCAGCCAAAACTACCACACTCAGCAAAACTTTCAATCACCATAGGTCAAAAAAATAAGACATTCCATTATAAAACTAAACTTAATCAAAATCTATCTACGAATCCAGCCCTACGGAAGTCACTAGAAAAGGAAAACTCCAACCTAAAGAGGTTAACTATACTAAAAAAAAAACAAACAAGCAAACAATAACAATAACAAAACAGAAACAAACAAAAAAACAAAGGAAACAAATAATCCCTGACCAACAAATCAAAAGAGGGGAAACACACTCCCCACACATGAGCAACAGAATAACAGGAATCAAAACCCACTGTTTACTTATATCTCTCAACATCAACGGTCTCAGTTATTCTATAAAACGACACAGAATAATAGAATGGATACGAAAACAGGATCCATTCTTCTTCTGTATCAAAGAAACATACCTCAATATCAAGGATAGATATCACCTTGGGGGGAAAATGGAAAAAGAGATTCCAAGAAAATGTACCTAAGAAATAAGCTAATGTAGTCATTTTAATATCTGACAAAATAGACTTCAAGTTAATCAGAAGCCATAGGGAAGAATACCACATCCTCATCAAAAGAAAAATCCACGTAAAGACTATTGTAATTTTTTTTTGTTTTTCGAGACAGGGTTTCTCTGTATTGTTTTGGAGGCTGTCCTGGAACTCACTCTGTAGACCAGGCTGGCCTCGAACTCACAGAGATCCACCTGCCTCTGCCTCCCGAGTGCTGGGATTAAAGGCGTGCACCACCAACACCCGGCTGACTATTGTAATTCTTAATATCTATACATCAGACACAAGGAACATTACTACAACACAAATCACATATTGATCCTCATGCACAAATAGTGAGAGACTCCAGTATCCCACTCATGTTAATAGACAGGTCATTGAGACAAAAAATAAACGGAGAAATGCTGCACTAACCAATGTTATAAACCAAATGGACCCAAGAAATAGTTACAGAACATTTGACCCAATATACCTTCTCAGGACCTCATGGAACTTTCTCCAAAAATAATTCAGACACTGAAACACAAAGTAAGCCTTAACAGATACAGATAGCTAGAACAATAAGACTACTGAAGAAGATTAAGGAGATACAAATAGGAAAGTAAGAAGTCAAAATATTTTTATTTAAAGATGATATACTATGCATAAGTGACCCTACAAACTCTACTAAGAAACGTCTAGAGCTGATAAACACTTTCAACAAAGAGGCTGAAGACAAAATTTATTCATAGAAACCAGTAGCCCTCCTATATGCAAATGGACTGAGAAAGGAATCAGGGAAACAGCACCTTTCACATTGGCCTCAAATAATATAAAATACCTTGGAGTAACTCTAACCAAGCAACTATGTGCCTACATAAACAAATTGGAGGGATCTCATACTAGTAACTTGACAGCACATCTAAAACTCTAGAACACAGGGAGAAATTACACCTGAGACCTTAGAACACTTAGCCTCAAAAGGGATGTCTCCATCAAACTCCTCCCCTCGGAGCTCAGGGAACCCCACAGAAGAGGAGGCAGAAAGAGTGTAAGAGCCAGAGGAGATACAGTATACCAGGAAATAAAGGCCCCCCGAATCAACATGAGCAAAGCTCATATGAGCTCACAGAGACGGAGGCAGCACTAATAAGGCTTGCACAGATCTGCACTAAGTGGGTTCCTAGAGCTGAAAGGAGAAGTAGACACATGCCCCTAACCCTAGCCCAGAAGCAATCTATGACTGATAACTACTTGTAAATGAAAATTTGTCTCCCTCCAACGGAATCTACTGGGGAAACAATATACTCTTAAAGTAGGTTGCATGCCCAGTGGCAGACGATCAACAGAAAACAAACACAATAGCATCTTTGGATGTTCCTTGTATCAAAATGTCATATCAGGGCTTTTCATCAAAACCAAGTTGCTATGTTTTTATTTTATTTATATGTGTGATTTTTATTCTCTGTTTTTACACTGCAGGTCCTTTGTGTATCAATTATGGCTTCCAGTTTAGTACTTTTATGGTATTCCTGAGTGTGCAAACCAGTTGTTTCTTGTACCTTTTCTTGGGCTCTTTTCCTTCTGTTTGTTTTGTGTAATTCCAATGTGTTAGTTTTTGCTTTATGTTACTATATTTTATATTACTATAACTATATATTATTATTATCTCTTAGAAGGCTGTTGGATTTCTAATGAGAGACAGAAAGGGGTTGAATCTGAAAGGGAGTTGAGGTCATGAGGACCTGGGAGGAGTAGAGGGAGGGAAAACCACATTTAGGATATATCATGTGAGAAACTTTTCAATAAAAGGGAGAAAAATCTCTTTTGTAATTGCCTTTTAAAGTGGTTCAGGAGCTACAAGAGAAAACCAGGCAGATAATTCTGTCCCTTACCTTATTTCTGAAACCCAAACAGTATAATCCAATTCAGCCAACTACTTTATTCACTAGTCTTGACTTTTGGCAAACTCCAAGAAAAAAAAAAATCAAATCCCCTGTCAAAGGATGGAGATTTGTCACTATTGAAGATAGTCAAAGAAATTAGCCTCGGGCTCTGAAAGCAATTTCAGGAAGACTTCTCAAACTATGTTAAGCAACGGCTATGCTGTTGGAATAAATGTGTCTCCTGTCAGGGCAGCTACTTGAAAAAGATATGGTAATTTGGATCTGTAATTTCTGCTTTGTTTCTTAAACAGTCGAAGCACATTATACATCAAGTGTGCAGGAAATGATGGCCATCCATTCTGCAAACAACCATAACAATAAAAATTTAAATAGTTTCAGTCAGTCAGTGTGCCAGTCTTTGCACGACAATTGACACCTAAGATTTTGAATGGGATTTCTACTGTTCCTGTTAATGGCTACGTCAGTCTATCTTACCCTTACCAACAGTTCCCTTGGTAACTATCAATTCCTTTAATGCCATACTTCAACATCATAGTAGATACAGAATTTGATACAGTTATGTGGTCTTTCCAACCCAGTCATCACATCATTCCGTATATTCCAGGTTTTCTCCACATCCATACACCTTAATTGACACTTGTGATGCAGTTTTATAGCATCGATCCTGAATTTTAAATAAAACCAAAGGCTGGACACCTTTAACCCCAGCCTTCAGAAGGCAGAGGCAGGCAGATCTCTTGTGAGTCTAAGGCCAGCCTGGTTTGCATAGCAAGTTCTAGGGCAACCAAGACTATGCATAAAGAAACCCTGTCTCAAAAACAAACAACAAAATCTTTAATTCCTTGTTCACTTTGTTCGGTTGTTTGTTGCTACCTGAAACACAAATTCTGAGGTAAATTCTATGACTTTATCTGGACTAAGTGTGAAAGAATTCCATGGTGTTCTATGTTGTCATGATCGAAGAATA